CAGAAATGGTTGTTCCACCATTTGTGGAACTAATTTCCAGAAAAGACTAAGAAGAAGGAACAAAACTCAAAAACTATAGAGTCTAAAACCAGAGTTTATAAATTATAGCAATAAGCCTCTCAATTTAGAAGGTTTAAAGATTCATGAAAAGCCATCTTTTAATCATGATGGTATATAGCTTCACGAAGACACTTTCCAGAGACGAGAATACATAAAAGTTCCACATGTAGCACAGGCCATCATAAAAAAAGACATGCATTATTTTAAAATGTCTTGGGAAGACAGCTAGAAGTAGAATTATGTACTGCAAACATGCACTAATAAAATCATGAAAAGCCCCCCTTTAATCATGATGGTATATATATATATATATATATATATATATATACCCTTGCAAAGACACTTTTGAGAAAAGAGAAAGTCACAAAAATTCAACATGCAGCACAGGATATTATGCAAAAGACAAGAATTATTTTAAAATGTTGCCTTGGAAATGTACCTAGAAGTGGAATTATGTGCTGTCAACATGTACTCATAACTTTTTTAAATGTAAAAAATAGTAAGATGTGGCACTAATAAAAATATGGTCTTGATTATGCTACTTTATATGCAAAAAACAAGTTTAAAATGGTGCTACTATCTTCCCTTTTTGTTCTCCATATTCACCCCCAACTCACACTCAAGTACAGATTATGGATGAGAACATTTGCCTAGTCAAGCATCATCCCAAGTTAAATGACAATTGCATTTTCTATAACTATAGCAAAATACATTCAACTTAAAGTAAGAAAAATTTATTTTGGCTCAGTTTTTGGGGATTCATTGCTTGTTTGTTGACCTGTAGTGACACATACTATCATGCCAGAGAGGATGTGACAAGATAAAGGTGCTCAACTCATGGAGGTCAGGAAGCAAAGAAAGCAGATCAGGGGCAGGGGAAAAAATAAATACCCTTTCAGGGCACACCCTCAATGACATAATTCCTCCAATTAGGTTAACTTTTTATAGTTTCTAACACTTTTAAGTAGTGCATCAAACTATGAGTTCTTCAGTAGTTAATTCATTGAGGAAGTTAGAGTATAATCTAATCACTTCCCAAAAACTCCACTCCAAGACTGGTACACTGAAGATCAGGCCTTCAATATATGAGTTTTGGGGTACATTCCAGATTCAAATAATAACAGTAATTGTGTTAATGTTCTTTTGACATAATATCTATCCAAAGCCTGTATACAGAAGATTTATAAATAACAGCATTTATAAGCAAGTTCTGAAGTCAGAACAACCTGGATTTTACTCCCAAGTTTGCCATTTCTAGCTCTTTGATTTTAAGCATCATACCTATCGTTTCTTGTGGATCTCAGAGGCGTCTTTTTCTAATACCATAAAATAGGACTAATAGTAGCACTTACCTCAAAGTGTTATTGTAAGAATTATATTAAATAATTTAAATAAAGCATTGAACATGCTGCCTGATATACAGTATATGAAGCATAAACAAGTGTTAGTCTTTACTATTATTACAGTTAAACCATGATTAGGCATGCAGATAAAATAGTTTAACCAAACAAAAAAACTAGCAGCACTGAACACTTATACAGTTTTTGAACACTGCATTTTCAACTTATAAGAAGTTTGGCCAGATATCTGAGCAATCTACAAAGTTATAACCAAACTAATACATCCCAAATGTGAGCCACTTGGGCTAAAAAGAAATTCTTGTATTTAAAATCATTCTTTGCTTCCCAAGAGTAAAATTTCTGATTTATCTCTCATATTAATAAAAAAAGCTAATATAAACGATCTGCTCTTCAGTCTAACAGTTTTTTTTGTTTAATTTTGGTCTGGACTACAGGAAATAACTAACTTCTAGGTTTACGACATCTCATAGGCAGCAGGGCAGTAGAACTGAAAGCAAACAGATTATCAGATAATCACAATAGATTCTTGGTGTGTTTAATTTTATCAGTAAAAAAATGAAACATAAAATTCACCTTAGATAATTCAGTTAAAGCAAAAGAATATCCCTATAAAGATGCATAGTTGATTGTGTAATATGTACTTTAGAAAAAAATTCAATATTAGCTGCAGGGTATTAAAACACTCAACCTGATTATGTCTGAGTTTTATTTTTCCACAAGCTAATCCCAAAGGAGGATTAATCTTAAGGTTTATTGAACATTACCCTTTATCAACAGTCCCTGTATTGAGATGAATCCACATACTCTGCTCTCTTGTCACATTATAAAACTTTCATAAATATCCACAATACATTCTTCCTCATAATTAAGCAACTTTTAAATATTTTTAAATACTCAAGAATCACTTGCATTGAGATATGTGCTTCTCAAGCCTCTTTAAACTGGGCTAAATAATTCCAGTATCTTTGCCCTAATTGCTGTGGAATTTAGGAAATTGCCCATCAAATGCTGGGCACTAAAATGAAGACATTGATCAGTCTCTACATTTGTCATGTTAAACTTGCCATTTTTCACTGTTTGGGGCATCCAAAAAGTATGTCCATTCATTTGGTGAATAGTTTTTGATTTTGATCTTTCAAGTAGTTTATGAATAGTTTTAAATAGCATTGAAATAAAGATTGGCAGCTATGACAAGGACTAAAACCTACATCAAATAAAATTTCAATTTATAAATACAGAAGCAGAGTAGCAAAATATTCTATCACTTAAAATATAATTAGTTGAGAACCACAAAATGAAGAATTGTGGTTTGCTATTCTATATCCACATTAGCTAAATGAAGAAAATGCTGTGACTAGCAACTCATAATTTGGCAATTAAAAGTTTTCATTTTATTCATTTGTTTTTGTAATGTGCACTGAGTACCACCAAAAAGAAAAGTTATTTATTTTTACTGTAATATGTGGACAATTCATACTACAACTATCTCCAATTTTAGCAGTTATAAAAGAGACTATTTACCAGACCCTCCTCTGCTTAGTGAAACATATAACACTGGTTATTTTTATGTCATCCAATACTGAGTTGAAAGCATTCAGATATTACACCAATTCAAAGCTACTTTTAAAGATTTTTATACCAAATACAATTTGTCACTTACAGAAATGTCTTCTTTTGTGCAATTGTTGTGTTCTGTCAGGTATCTTAGGCCAAAGTTCTAAGTCATTTGTTGAAAACAATGTTGGTCCAACTTTAAGGTAGAATTTTATTATTACAAACTGAGGAGTCCCTTCTGAAGTAAATAATCACTACCCAATTTATGTATGTTATATAGGAGATATCTCTAAATTGTGCTTATTTTGTACTGTTTTAGCATTTAAAAGTATTGGAAAATTATAATAAAGCAAGGATTTATCTCTGTAATAAGCAATAAATACTGACAACACATTCATATTAACTGTAGTAACAGAAACAGTGGACAAATCTTTAACCACAAGAAAAAAATTAAAAATAAACATCTGCCTTTTGTAATTTTTAACAACAAAGTCCAATAAAGAAGTTAAAAGAAGTTTCAATAATTTTTAAGACTTTTAAAAATTTAAATGTTAACAAAGAAAGAGGTACATTTGTTCTATTTGAAAGGAATGATTTTCGAGTGAGGAAGGGCAGTAAAAGAGAGAGAAAGCAAATAATAAATAGCAGTACTGAAACCTCAGGGCCCCCCAAAATAGCTAACCACCTTACTTGTGCAGTCTCATTAGGAGTATAATTACATACACTGAGCTAGTTTTTGAAATACTACAATTATTATATTAGATTGAAACGGAGCAACTCAAATTTTACCTTCATATATCAGAATGTATATGAAAAATAAATAACTTATATTGTGGTATTTCAAAGGAAATTTAAAATTTTCCTTTTTGCAGCTGAAACTTGCTCCAAAGATTTAAGTTTTTGGTTGTCTCAAAACTGTCCAAACATGCCCACACATAGTAGCTAAAGTCAAAAACTCAAGATGCAAAATTCTTGAAATTCCACATAACCTTCAATTCTATTGAAAATCTTCATAGCTATAAACATAAAAAAGAAAGAAAAGAAACCAAGAACCCATAATCATTACTGCTGTAAAACTCAAGGAAAGATTTTCCTATAGCTTCCATCTTGAACTCCAAACATCTGCTCCTGCTCTTCTCTTCAGTTGTGAAGAACAGAGGCAGTTTCTTTAAAGCAGATATATTCAGCTTTCACACCGTTCATCCTCTCTTCCTCCTCAGAACTGCTGAAAAAGTGTTATCCTTAGTTAACAATTAGCAAACGGATCCAGGAAGAAATCCTACCTTTTGAAGAAACAGCAACTCAGCCTGCCTTTTCAGAAAAAGCTACTTGTTAGCTTCTTTTCCTGTTCTCAAAATATTTAAAGCAGTTAAGAAATGGTAGGTGTAAAACCTTTTGAAAGAAAAATTCAAAATGAAACAATGTGTCACGTTAAAAAGTTAAAAAAAATGGTGTCCTCTGTCATTTTATTCAGTTGTAACATGCTTTTAAACTGAAGTTACACACCCTTTTCCTATGTACTCTTAAAAATAAATCTTATTACAGGGGTCTTATCTTTTAACATAATACTAGAACCTCAGTCGTTAGGCCTCCACTCAATCTCCATCAGTCATAGCACATGTACTTCCATCCTTTGCAGAAATTCTCTCCTTTTGCTTGCATCATTATTTAAAGCGTATTTGCTAAATGCCTCATTCTTGAAACTCACCAGCGTGGGATTTTATTTGACTTCTTCACCTAAACCTAAAGTACCAGTAACACCAGCTCCCATTTCCCACAGCGTTGTAGCTTTCTTTTTCCTTCTTAGGAGAAACGTGGCCCCAGTGTCATAAGGCAAACACACTTAAAACTCCTTGGAAAAATAAAATCGATACAACAAAGAAAGAAAGGTAGAAAGGTAGTAGTGTGAGGGACGCGTACTGTTCCGAAGAAAAAGCTACCAACTGAACAGTAATTTAACGGTTCTGGAGCAGAAGAGACCAGTAGGTAAGAAGAATAACAAACGTGGACTCCCACTATCCTTACCGCCGTGGAGCCAGAAGAAGATGCAATATATACACGGATCACCATCCTGGGAACAGTGGCTTGCGGCTGTTTGGATGCTGAACACGGCTGCAAAACAGCTGCAGCAAGGCTGGAAAGGAGCTAGGGGCCCAAAAGAGATTAGCAGGTTGGGGGAGGGAAAAAAGGAGCCCTCCAGGGCCCCGCCTCAGCCCTTAGCTGCTTTCAACCGGCTCAGAAGACTGCAGTCCAGCCCCAAACCCCGGAAGGCACAGGCTCATTTGCATCATTTCTTTTTTTTTTTTTTAATAGAGAATCTCGAATAGCACCGCGAGATCTGTTGAAACAATTCCTTTTGACTTCCTTTTTCGAGAAGAGGGGGAGGAGGAGAAAAAAAAAAAAGAAAAGAAAAAAACAAACAATGAATTGAACTAGATTTGAAGGAAGAAAGGACCTTTTATTTCCAAAAAAAAAAAAAATCCTGTAACTTACTGCTCAGAAATGTACATAAATTAGAACATACCCCTTCCTAGAAACGGCAAATTCTGTGCTAAATCCAGACACTACTAAGAAAAGTCTCAAGTTCTCAGCACTTTAACATCGTAAGACTTCTATAATGATTTTTATGATGTTTGCTGTTTGCAGGAATAGTGAACTGAAGTACTCGGCCAGGGTTCAGGAGAAGTTTCAGGTTTCCCTAAACCCTGCAAAGACTGAATTAGTTTTCTTTTTGAGTTTTGCTCTTTATTAAAATAGGAAATCTTTTGCAAGCATTTTGCAGCTGGCCTGATTGCCAAACGCAAGAATGGAGGAGAAAATTGCAAACTGAACTTGAAAACCATGCGTACCAAAGCGCTTTGCTTTACTTTTTATCAGATTGAGAAAAGAATTTGGAGCATAAATTGTAGGAGATGTTGAAATGATACAGAGAGAGCAGGTGACTTTATAGTTTAGGTAAATGAACAAACAGTTGGTAATGTACAAGGGAGGGACAAAAATTGAGGTTTGAAAATTACAGCAGTTTCCTAAAAGTGTCCCATACTCAGATTCTGTTTCCTCTAAACTACTTTTTATACTAACTCCAAATTATATGTGATCTATGCAACAATCTTGAGAGGTAGGTAATAGTACGCTATTTTTCACAGAAAAGAAACTGAAACTTAGCAAAATAATTTCCTCAGTCCTTTATAGTAACTACCAAACGCCAGAGTTGGGGCTTGACCTCAAGTTCCTCCTTCTCCGAAGACCACTCTATTGTCTATCATTATTATAATAAAAATGTTACCTACATTTTGTTCTAAAATAATGATTTTATGTAAGACAATATGGGCTGAAATACTTATGATAGTTCTGTATTCACTATCAAACTAAACCTAAATTATGTTTCTCACCAGACGTCATATGATCCGGTCCTACACCGTACATGATTCTCCACATAGCCATCATAGACCTCTTTCAAAATGATGAAAAAATAAACAGAAGGAAAAAAAAAATGCTTCCATTTTTTGTACACACATACCAGATAAAATTAATTATCCCCAGACAGCTGAGTGACAGAATTAGCAGTGAGTCAGTAGGGCTTTTTCAGGAACTTTGAGGAATAAAAGGGTGATTTCTGATTTTACTTGTTTTAAATATAAGTGTAAAATGTCCTCAATAAGTTGATTTATAAATAAAGTCTACTGGTCCTTAATGACAGAATTTGGAATAGATTTTGAGGGAGGGAACTTTATCAATATTTCTGTCCTAGACATTAACATTACAGATATTCCTTGTTTGGTGACTCACCTGTTTAACAACTGTTTAGACTTAGGACTGAGTCATGCTGTTCTGACTTATGACCTGCCACTCAGACTTGCAACCTGTCTTGTTTTTGTGCATTTCTGTAGATCTTGTTATAGAGGCTCGATTTTTGTGCAGTATACCTTGTTTACATAATACTATAACTTTTTCTGATTGTACTGTACAGTACAATATTGTGGTTTCATGTTCTGTTAAACATTACAGTTCTGATGTAAGAGTTACACAAATAAATACGAAAGTCTTCCAGTTGGAATTTCCTTTGACCATTTCTTCTTGAATATTGCCATGTGCATACTATATACAATTCCTCATTTAGTGACAAATACGTTTAACACTCTAGTTGCAGGAACTGAACTGGGGTGTTGAACAAGGAATGTCCATGTAGATAGTATCATTCTTACTTCTCACTACATTCAACCATTACTAGAAAAGATAATGTAGTTTCTTCACTTTAATTTTAACAGAATAGTCCTCTGGGGCTTATATGTTTTTGGCTGGAAAGGATAAGGCCTGAATGAAGTAAAATAGATCAAAGTGCAGCACTGTGACCTATTCCCATGAAAAAACCTTAATTATTCTCCAACATTAATACATTTTAAAGTTACAAGATAAAAGCATTCTCTATGCACACACCTCTAATAATTTCTTATTTCTTAGAAATAAAATTTTGATGTGGAATTGCTGGCAAATTCTAATATTTTATTAAAATGCTATATGTTAAGCTCACTATCGTCTTTATCTAGAATGGAAAAAGCATGTTGATTTCATTGAAGGATCTGTTGATGTTATCCTAATCACAAAAATTGGCTTATAATAGTTTTGGTTGATGGTTTATGTCCACTATGTTTGAGAACAATGTGAAGCTAGTTCTCTTCCTCATATTTCTTGATGTTAGACTTTCTGCAACTTTCAGAAGTGGAAAGTGGCATTTCTCTGTCCTGTTTCCCCTATAATGGAATGCATATTCATGCTTCTCCAAAATTCTCCAAAGTCATATTTTGGTTATCTGTCTTGGATTGTTGGACCTGTTGTTGAGTTAGAGGGTATAAGACAGTTTCAGCAAGCTAGACTTACAGTGTTAGGATTGGTGTGTATGGCATGGACATAGGTAAACAGACAACATGGAGACTGCAGAACTGAGGCTGTCTCTGGAATGGAACTGTATAGAATCCAAATAACCTCTAGCAGACATGACTCATACACAAGGCTGAGAATAAGAACTAGAAGACACCATCTGTTACCTGCAGTTTTTGTGGGGGTCTTTTGTTTTGCTTTGAGTTTGGAGGTTTTGTTTTTGTTTCTGTTTTTGTTTTCTGAAACAGGGTCTCATTTTGAAGTTCAAGCTGGCCTTCAATTCACTATGTACCATGAACTAGCCACAAACTGAGGTGATCCTCCTTCCTCATGCTCCAGATTGCTGAGATTACAGGCATTCACCATGCTCGGCTGCCTCAGGCTTTGATCTCCATCATACCCATAAGTGTTTTTCCTACACTTGCTTGCAGTTACTTTTTTTTTTTTTTTTTTTTTTTTTTTTTTGTACTGGGAATAGAACTCACAACCTTGTGCTTGGAGTTCCTTTCATGATAAGAAAACTCAACTTTTATCTTCAACCTTCTCTCTAAATGTTCTTTACACCTCATTAACTTAACTGATCATTGTTTCCTCAGAGGAAATTTCCTTTTCTCAAATGAAGATCCCTCATGCTCTCACATTCTAATCAGGGTTAACCACAATCTTCATCTCCATGCCAAAAGAAGCTGTATACTCTTGCTCTACAGAAAAATTTCATACCCTCTTGGGCAGAAGCAGCTCTAAATCATCACTCAGTTCTTTGAAATTTCAATTTTTCCCCATTTCTTTACTGGGTAATTTCTCACTTCCCTGTTTAGATCTTTGCTAGTTTGAAGAAGACTTTGTAAATTACCTTTGAACATTTTAAATTGCCTTCAGTAAGGGAGTAGTTCCAGGTCATCTAGTACACCACTGTCACAAGCAGAAAATTTTCCTGTTTTAAATTTTGAGAAAGTCAAAATATTATCTATTCCATGATACAAAAAGACTAGAAAGCTACAATTAAGAAATGTTTAATGAAATAATTACAAAATAGTACTTATCAACTTCATTTGATATTAAATTTAGTATTCATAAAATTTCATTTCATTTGAAAACAATTCATAGTTTAGATTTTTTCCACATCAAAAGAATTCCCAAGTATACATAGTAGCTACTGAAAAAATCAGTGCTAAGCATAATTTAATGAATGGCTTCTGACTCAATAATTTTAAATTTATACCTGATCTGGAAGATCAAAGACAATCAACATACACAACACACCATCATGTAAATATAAAAATCACAACCAGAAACACAAATACTGCATTTTGAAGGACTTCTTTTTGCTTTCCTAAACAGTCAGCAGAAGTATGCAGTGGAGTTAGTATAGAAGAAATAACACCAATATGCTTAGGAATGTTCAGTCTATCTCAGCCAGTTGCTAAATGGTGATAGACATAAACAGTAAGAATTTTAGAACCCTGTGCCAGCAGGTACCTTGGAATTATTGGGTTCAGAATTCAGATCACATAAAAAAATGCTGTTAATTTTTATGGCCACTAGAAGGCATGAATCACTTTCTTTTAAAAGTTCCTGCTTTTTTTTTTTAATTTTACTAGTACAGGTTTACAGTACATAATGTATATATTCACTGCAGAGAATTGGTATATTTACCTAACATATTTTAACTCCCTTCTTCTTCACTTTATCTCTACCTCTCTTTCACTTTTCAGCATCTGATTTATTTATGTATAAGAACTTAAAAGTTAGTTATCATATACATAGACTGAAAATCAGACTGGTAGTTCAAAAATATATAAATTATGTAAGACAACTAAACTAAGACAAAGAACACCTGTAGATACATTGTCTGTTCTGCACTACAATATGTTTTTTTCTTTCGTTTTTCCTATTGTTTCTATTTTATCACGTACTTATATATGTAATTTTCATTTATATTTTACATTTTTTTCTTGGTACCAGGGATCAAACTCACAACCTCACACTTGCCAGGCCGACACTTGTGCCACTGAGCTAAAGTCCCACCCCACTGGGAATTTAAAAAACATATAACATTTAAACTTGCGTGTCTAAATTATTTCATTTAAATTTGTGGTCTCAAATTACACCCATTACTCTATTTTTTTAAAAATTTTATTTAAAGAAAGAAAAAAATCAAAACAGTAAAAGGGTACAAGTAATACAGAATTTCAAAAAAAGTAAACAGCAAGAAATTACTAGTTAATAGATTACATATTGTCATCTTAGAAATAGTTGTTCAAGTTACAAAATTAAAGCAACAAAGTTGACATTCAAACAGTGAGACTGCAAACAATTGTGTTCAATGATCCAACAAAAACCTAGTAATATGGTCATCTATCTTACACACCTAAACACACTTGCAG